TATATGCCACAGCCTCCAACTGTGGGTCCCACGCTGCCTCCCATCGGGGCACTTTCTAGGCTGCAGAGACAGCGAGCCCCACGAGGGAGGCTGCACTGGAAGGCACCCAGTTTCAGTGCTGTGACCAGCCAGGAGACAGAGAATAGGGGCATTTTGCTCCATCCCTTGCCTGTCCAATGCAGCCGTCACGTGGCCACACAAAACATGAGTCAGAGCCTGCCACTCCTCTCACCAAAAACAAACGTTCTGCCCAAGGATTTCCGCCTAAAGTTTTTTAATAACTTTATTCATAACAGCCAACCCCCAAAACAACTCAAATGAACATCAGCTAGCAAATGCATCGACAAATTGCGGCACATCCCTAAAGCGTCAAGCTGGTCAACAGTAAGAAGGAATGAATAACTAGTATAAACAACGGGGTGAGCCTCCAAACTTTACGTTGAGTAAACTAAGCCAGACACAGAAGACATCACGGTATGTGGTGCCATGTACACGAAATTTTAGGGGAGATAAATAGCATCTGTAGTGATGGGAAGCAGATGAGGCCCCAGGGGCGAGTGCCGACAGAGAAGGTTTCAGAGAAAGCTGCTGGAGTGACGAAATGCGTGGCCCAGCTCCTGATGGCCTTTTTGGTTACGTAGGTGTGACATCTGACTGGACATTCTAGAATGTGCGCACTTTATTGACAGTACACGGCAAAAAGTGAATGCTTGAAAAACAAAACCAAACGGGCATTTTGTTTTGCTGGGTTCATTCTATATTTTTTTAAGATTCTATTTATTCATTTTTAGAGAGAGGGGAAGGGAGGAAGAAAGAGAGGGAGAGAAGCGTTGATCAGTTAGTTACCTCTTGTACGCACCCTCACCAGAGACCGAACCTACCACCCAGGCCCGTGCCCTGACCAGGAATTGAACCAGGGACCTTCCGGTTTGCAGGATGATGCCCAAACAACTGAGCCGCACCAGTCGGGGCAGCATCATTCTGTTCTGTGTGGTGCTTGCCAGTGGGTGCCAGTGGGTGCCACTGGTTGCCTCTGGAATGAAACTGGGTGCCCAGGGACAGACGTGGGAAAGAGATCCTTAAAACTGTTCACTCTTTTGTACTTTTAAACTTTTGAACTGCGAGGCCGTATTACTTAGTTTTTAAAAATAAATGACATTTAAAATCAAGAGAAAGAATTTTTAAAGCATGTCCCTCCCTGGTAAAATAAGGGAGACACAGCCCAAAGGCCACCGAGTATAACCCAGTCTAGTTCAGGTGGCGGGAACCCTGTTCTTGACCCAAACACTGTACACGGTCTGTATTTTACTTTGCGCTCTGAGTGAATACTATGTTTTAGCATTATTTAGTATTTTAGCATTTTCCATAAGATATATAGGTAATAGAAGAATGCATACATACAGTTTTCAAATAATTCTAACATGAACACCATGTACCTGCTCCCAAGTCGGAAAATACGATGCTGCCTGCACCCCAGGGGTCCCCCTGGAATCATACCTTTCCCTCCTTCCAGGGACAACCACTGTCTCCATTTCAGGGACAAGAATGTTTTACTTTATCTCCTATGTGTATATGCAGAATCAGTACTGTTGACTTTGCACATTTTGAACCTTTAAAAAAACACAGAATCATTTTGCACATTTTACTGTGTGCTTTTCCTGTCCGAAATTACATTTGTAAAACTCATCCATGCCATTGCCCATCACTGTGGTTTATTTTCAGTGTTATATAGTATCTTATGGTAGGAATGAATGGAGCACAATGTACTTATCCATTAAAATATTATGGGCACATTAAAGAGGCCTTTTTTTGTTCCCATTGCCTAAAGAAAAAAACAAGTTCATACTCATAATATGACATTCGAGGCACCCACTGTCCCATGTGCCTCCAAAACACCTCGCTGGTCTCATCTTCTCCACTTCTCTCTACCAATCCATGTGCCAGGGCATCAGTTCAGCGTGCCGATGGAGGTATCAGGTACAATTCCTTAGGGCTGGAAGGCTGTTGACCATGGACTAGATCTTCCCAAAACACGCCTGTCCATCATGGTCTGGTCTGAGCATGATCTCCTTATGAAGCCCCACAGTCTCTTCCATCCGCAATGCCAAGCACTCCCCGGAAACTGCATGAGAATGAACTACCCTTTTCTGACTCTCCCGCCACACCTGCTTCAGGAAGCCTTGAGTTACAACCGTCTGTCACAGCTACATCTATTATCTCTTGGTTCTTGTCCTGCGCAGCACTAAAATATTGCAAATAATGGGCCAGTAATACATGTCAGAGCTTTTAAACTCAATCCCAAAATCCTGAGAGCTACAGCTGGTATGAGGCACTAAATCATTCAAAAATATATGTTTGAAAAGTGAATTTCCACGCACAGGAAATAACACCAATTAAAGTGAAAATATCATCACTATTGCTTAAGACGTGATTTGGGTTCCTTAGATTTCTAACACTGATCTTGTTTTTCTCATAAAAAATACAGAGCTTTAGAGTTACTGGGACACAATGAGAAAACATCATCATTAAGATCGTTTAATAAGAAGTACACTATACAAAGAAAATGATGTCCTCAAAAAGTGTTTAACCCCAAAACAACAAAGGGGGAAAAGTCCAAAATGTTAATAAAATTAATGAGTGAGTCAAGAATTCCATTTGACAAATATTTCAGAATTTAAAATGCAGTACTATTATTTTTCTGTCAAAGAAAATACATGCATGGAATATAGACACTGCAAATAGGAGAAGAAAGAAAAACAGATAAACAGAAAAATATAAATGGACTAACGGCCTGGTCATCGTTTGCCTCGCCATAGAATACATTAAAAAAATAGAAGGCATCTCTCTTGAATAATACCAAATATGCCTTCAATTATTTTATGTCAAAGTCATTTTTTTCAATATACACTATTAAGAGTACATCATAGAATAAGTGTTTGCAACTCATATTACAGAAATTAGGCTAAGGTTCTTAATATAAAAAAAGTTCCTACAAATTGACAGGGGGAAAAAAAGCCCAATGGCTCAACTAGAAATATGGATAAAATTATTAATAAACAGATAATGGAAAGAAAAGATCATTTTAATGGTCCTTGAGTGAACATAGGAAACATGCTCAACCTCAGGGAAATACAGATTAATACCATAATGAGATACTCTTTTCACCTATCTGATTTGCAAGATCAAAAAGTCTGATAAAATGCCACTGGCAAGGGCAGAGAGAAACAAGCAGTCACACACATTGCCTGCTGGAGTTTAAATTGGTAGAACCCCAAGGAAGGCATGTGATAGCCATCAAAAGTACAAGTGCACACCCTCCCCCCTGACCAGACAAGTCCATTTCCAGGATTTCCTCCTACAGATGCGCTTGTATGCACAAAGCCATCAGCTAGAACACTGAGATAGCAAGTTTGGAAACAACCTTCGTCCATCAGTTAGTCACAGGTAAAGTAATTTGTGACATCCTTTCCATGGAATTCTGTACAGCTGAAAAAGAACAGGGAAGTGATCGCCGAGATGCACTAAGAGGAGGAAGCGCACAGGCACCGTTCTACAGTTTGGGTGATATATTGGGCATTTCCTGAACTGGAAAGAGACAAGGAACTGGTAGCGTTGGCTGCCTCTGGAAGGAAACTGGGTAGCCAGACACAGACATGGGAAAGCGATTTTCAAAACGTTACCCTTTTGCACCTTTAAACTTTTCAACTGTAGGCCTATTAGCTATTTTTAATAAATAAAAATAAAAATAAAGATAATTTTAAAATATGCCCCATATTGGTAAAATGAGTGAGTCTCAGCCCTGAATGACTGAACTGTTGCCCCATCTAGCACAATACAACATAGCCTCCTAATTTGAGTGTTCACATAATTTCATAATAGGCATGAGAAATCTGGAAGAAGCTCTAGAGACGCAGACAGCCAAGAGACCCAAAGTAAAAATAATCCACATTCAGGGGCCCGGGTTAGATACAGCCAGTTTTTAGAGAAAACCAGGACTAGCACAGGTCGGGGGTGGGGGAGGGGGAACAAACCAAACCCTCTTTGAGTTGCTCAATTAACCTACACAATGGCAGGCTGTGTACGTCTCCTGCATTTATTTCCTAACTTTAAGGTTAAGAAATCTGTGTCCTACAAAAAGATCTCTGTTGCCAAAGCCCTTCTCCCTCTGCACCGTGTGGGTCGTGCTTGCTACCAGGACAGGGTTGCAAACCAAGAAGACTTTTCTCAGCCCTCCCTCAGACTGGTAGCAGGTGACAGGGCTGTCCTTCAAGGAAGCAGCAGGACACTTCCCCTGTCCTTAATGGTGAAGGGCTCTATAAGGAGAGATAAACCTGTTGATTGGAGGCTTGTCATAGTCATTCCTATGTGTTCTCTCTGTGCTTCACCTAAAAATATGACTGTTTTCCTCACTGTGCACACCTGGGCGGGGATGAGGTACATAGTCCACCTGGTTGCCTCCTGTTTTCTCATCAGGGAGTAAAGACAGTAAACCCAACCCTCCAGGGAAGGGAAAAACAAATCATTCAGTGCCCATCTCAGGTAGCTGATGAGGGCGGCGCAGTCTTGAGCTTGTACCCAAGCTGGTCCAGATATGCCTGCTGGGGGGGTGCAAGAACGAGTACGAGTTCAAACACGATTGCTCGGGCATGCTTTGGGGGAGCAGGTCAAAGCCTGCAAGTTTTAGAAAGCAAAAGCCCAAGTTTCTGAGCACGCTGGGCACATCTGTAGGTCCAGGTGCAGGCTGGTGAGCCGACCACCTCACCTGCTGAACACACGAAAGGAGGATGACAACTGCTTACAGGAAAGTGCATCTGGAGGAAAGTTGAAATGGGTGTCTACCTGTTCAGAAAGGTGACCAAGAAAGTAGGGCAGGGCTGACACTTCTTACTTCTCAGTGTCCAGCGCACACTCTCCCCTCCCTGGACGCCCCAAGGTCACCTGTCCTCCGAGGCGCCCCCCCCACCACCACACACACACCCGCCCTGGCCCCGAGATCTCACCAGAACAGCAGATTAGCCCCGACGAAGCCGAGCAAGGTGTGCAGCGGCCTTTTCCAGCTCAGGAGCTCGTGGGCGCGGCAGCCCAGCCACAGCACGGGCTCCCCCAGCAGCCAGGTCACCGCGGCGGCCTCCTCCACCTGCCGCTCCGCAGCCACAGCCGCCTCCTCTTCCTCCGGCGCTTCCTCCCCCTGCTCCTCCCCGGGAGCCCGCGGCGGCGGCGGCTCCTGCTCCCCGGCAGCCAGAGCCGGGCATCCTTCCTCGGCGTGCTCCAGGGGCGCCGGACTCGCCATCTTCAGCGGCGTTTCCAGGCGGGGACGGGCACGCGCGCGGGCGCGCCTGGGTGTCGGCGCCGAGAGGGCGGCGGGTCCCCGCACGGGTCGCGCACCGCGGGGCGCCGGCGCTGGGTGCCTTGTGACGTCAGCCTGGCCGCGGCAGGGGCGCCTCCCGGGGGGAAGTGGGTGCGGCCAAGTTCGCGCAGGGGCGGAGCAGCAGACGCCGAGGGGCTGGGCGGCCTCCCCCGCGCCGTGGGAGCGAGCTGGGCGGGGTCCCGGGGGCCAAGGGAGCGTGACCCCCTTTCCCTTCTAGCTGTGGAAAGGGCGAAGGACAGGAGTGCTGCCCGGTTACTTATCTGAAAGGGACTGAGAGCTACGGGCAGAATGAATTGGATATTCTCACTTTCTCAATCCAGGGCCACCGCTCACCCATACTGTAGCCTTAGAGGGTTTACGGAGCGTCCCTTCCCTTGACCGCGGATTTCAGCCCCAGCGTGGCACTGGCCCGGTGCGCTTTGCAGGGACAGCCTGCCCAACCACAGTAAGAAAAGTCTGTAGGACTCAGAAAAACATGATGATGTAAATGTTGGATTGAGAAAGGAAGGGGGAAAAAAAAAAACATGTGGGTCAAGTAAAGAGCATCTTCCCCTCCTGGGTTTTTTTTCGGTTTTTTTTTTGTTGTTTTTTTTTTGTTTTTTTTTTTGTTTTACATTTGAGGAAACACCAGACCACAGCGATTGGGGCGGAGGGGTGTGGGAAGTGCATCCCCTCTCAGGCTGTGGGCAAAGTCATCTGTGTCCAAAATTCACGTAGGTCTGGGGGCGGGGGGGCGAGGTTCACGTGGGAGGTACAGGTGAGCGGGGAGCTCGGAAACCGGAACCCTTGTGGAGACTGAATGCTTTGCGTGCATCAGACGAGCTTTGGCAAGCCCTGACTGCGCGTACTTCCGTGACACTCCGGCCTTTGTGTCACAGCACGCCTGGGGACAGGGTAAAGGCAGCCAAGAGGGGGTGACAGGAAATCCTGAAACCTCCCAAACCAGGCCTTACACTGGCACTGGTGCTTCTAGGTGAGTGTGTGCAGAGAGAAGAGGAGTAATTCTTTATGCTCACTTTTCACTATTTGCATTTCTTAAATGTCATATCCTCTAATCCCCTTCTGTTCTTGCTTTTGTCTGGAATAAAATCCCCCTCCCACCATCCTAAATCCTGTGATGAATCAGGGTGTCTTCCATCTTCTTGGAGTCTACTGTCTATGACCAGCCTGCTGCCACACGCTGAATGGGGCTCATCTTCAGAACATTTAAAGCTGTTATCAGGGGAGCCGCTGGAGGAAGTTCTATAATGCTTATCTGGATCATCATTGTCTACGTTTGTCCATCTGTGCATACCTATGTAAAACTTCATTGACCTGTGCATTGCAAATGTGTGCACTTTGCTCTATGTATGTAATACTTTAGGGAGGAGTATATTCCTCGAATTCACTCTAGGGTTTAGTGAGTACTTACTATGTCCCCAGCCCATTGTTAAGCTCTGTGGCTATGGCTTCCACCCACCAGAAGCTCACAGTCCAAGGAGAGGCCACTAGTAATTGTGAAAACAGCAGATAGACATAATCACTTAGAGCTAAGGGTCCTTACTTCAATTATTCATCCAAAATTAAGGAAGGAAAGGAGGCTCTTTGGAACAGATGGCATCTGCCCCGAATTCACTGTAAGGAGGAGAAGTAAAGCAGTGGTTGAGGGGAGAGGGGCAGTAATCTCCACCGGGACATCAGCATGACAGGGATGGTGGAAAGGTGCACATTTCCTTCCCCGTGTTTGCAGCAGACCATCAAGGCCCTGAATGACCCACTAGTGGCAGCAAGTTTGGGTTTTAAGGTGAAGGCAATGCAGGGTCCCTGGGGGTTCTGTCTTGCCTTGGAAGAGAGTCCCTCTGACCACTCAAAAGAAAGTGGCCAGGGAGACAATAAGCAAGCTATGTAGAAACCATTCATGTTTCTGTTTTTGTTTTTCACAAAAGAAAAATCGTCTTTTCCTAGGTGTTGGTCCCTCCTCTTGGTACTGGTGGAGGAGCTTTTAAAAGAAAAGTGATGCTTTATTGTGTAATCTGGCCTTTATTGAGCTCTGGATACAGCCGGGCCGGGGGCAATATTCTACAACGGGTCCCCGGACTCTGCAGCTGGAGGGGAGCATGCAGGGCAGAGAGGAGGCAGCACACACCCCCATTGTCCAAACCAGTAGCATGTGTGCAAGACTCTTCACGTTCCTCCTCCCCCTCCACCCCGAGTTCTAATTATTGTCAGCATCTGCTGAAACAGTAAAAGCTGTTGACAACCGAGACATGTAAAAGCTAAACCCCATTTTCTGTATGTGGTTCGCAACCCTCATTATCTCCATTTAATTACAAGTCTCCCTACCCAGTGTTTTGTGAAATCTTTCTCTGTTAAAATGATTATGGAAAAAAATGCTACACAAAACTGTTTGCATAAAAAGCTGGACTAATTGCTCTAATCTGTCTCTTTCACCTCTGACCTCTAACGATTACTGACAAAGGGATAAAGTCACAGGAGCTGACACTGGCGTAGACATATAAATGGATCCCACTGAGTGCTTTTTCTTTGTCTAATTATCTTTGTGATGCTTGAGTAATTTATTCAGTGCTAAGAGTACATAAAAGTAATGCTTATGATGGTTAAAATAAACCATATCCCCTACTTTCAGAAACAAGTCATGTTTAAAACTCCTGTGGGTAATGTTGCTGTTTAAGATTCTCTTCTGAATTTTGCATCTCTGTATATAGTGGCAACAGAGTGTTGAACACTACTAATGAGCTAGAAGATTTGACAACAGAGATCCGAGGAAAACAAGGAAACAGAATGTTGGGAGGGGTCTGTGGTAGCCACTGAATCTAAAAGATGATTTGGAAAATAGCACAGCTCCAGCAAAAAAAAAGTCAGAATACACATAGGAACTCTTAAAAGAGGCCACTCACCTTCCAAAAGGAGCTAGAAAGCTCGTAATAGGAGAGAAAAATAATGAATAATTAATTCCCACTTGAAGAGGCCAAATAGACAGCATTAAGCTAAGCCTCAGAGTGAGAGGGAAATGCCCCAATGTTATTTTTCTCCTTAAACTGTTTCATGTTAGAATTCTTTAGCAGGTCCATGACTCCTTAAATAAAAGGAGTCATGCATACATGTAGTACTGTTGATTGGTCCTGCAGGTAGATTATTTCTATGCTGATCATTTTACAAAAGGAATTCTACCTGCCTGTTCTTACCATATCCCCTACTCCTTTCCTAATTTTCTTGCCACTGAGCCTAGAGAACCTAGATAGTTCACGCTAAGCACAAATATGTGGGAACATCCCCCAACAGCGGCAACCTGGATGAAATTGGGAAGGAAGATTGCACCTGGTTTTCGAGGCCCAGCTCTCAGAAAGGACTGGCTATTTCTGTTTGGGGCTGACTGTCTATTATGCTTATGAGAACTGGGAGATGCAACCTAGTTGAGTCTACATCTGACAAGCATTCTGCAAGGGAGGTGCTTAGCAGCAACGAATCACTCACACCAAGGTGGCGGCCATCCATGTACCAGCCGTGGGCCCAGTTTAGGTATCGCTCCCTAATAATGGACAAAAGGTTTTTTTAAGACTTCAGAATGGCTGATTAGAGAGCACTCAGGTCATATTACAATAAAAATGTATCCTGAAAGGCCCTTCCATCCACTAGAACACACACACACACACACACACACACACACACACACACTATCAGCAAGGTGACTGCAGGGCATTAACCTCCAACCCCTTCCCACCAGGCAGCAGTCACAGTCCAATCAGCAGACTAGCCACCGTTCTGGTCCTAGGTTGGAAGAGTTCATAGAGAGGACGTGATTGCCCGTGGAGCCACCAGTGGGACCCAGGCAATCAGAGGCTCCTCGCCCCCTCCCCCCGTCCTCGGAATGTACGTTCTGCCTGCTATTTCCACAGTGGGAGCAGCTGAGAGAGGAAGGTGTTGCTGAGACCATCTGGACTAGACCCTGTTAAGATTCTGGTGGGCAGGTACGGAGATCTCTTCTTGCAGCTGCTTAAGACAAGCCTAGTATGTAAGTTCCCTTGCTTATCAACCCTGCCACCTATGATTCTGGATGATGTCTGCCTCTTTCTTGGGCATCTCCTTGCCTTCTGTGTAGTGGGGGGCACTTTCAAATTTCACCCAGGGGACTCCTGAGATTGCAAACCAACATCCTAATCTGCAGCCCCTTCTTTTTTCCTTTATGGTCCCCGTTCACTGCACTTTAGTTTCATTCATTCCTTATTTCTTCATTCATTGATCATTAAACATTCATTAAAGGCTGCTTGTAGGGCTGACAGTACGACAAACAGGACTGCTCATTTCCCTCATGGCGCTTAGGTCACTGACAAGGGAAAAGGAACCTGAGGAAGGTGGCTGGGTGAAGGGAGCAGGAATGTATGCACCGGCAGGGGCAGGAGAGAAGCCAGCCTGGCAGAAAACGGGAGCGGTTCTGAGCTAGTGGCCGGTGGGTGAGCAGGCAGGTGCTCCAAAGTGCCTCCTCCCTGGTGCGGCTAAGGAGTTTGAGCTTTGGGCCATTGGCGGGCTGTCAGCAGGAGAGCGATATGGCCTGGTTTGTGTTCAGAGACACTCAGGAAGGTGTCTCTGAACAGTAAATAGAGCCTGGCAGAGACACTGGAACTTTTTCCTCATCACTCACTGAGATGGGGAGAGGAGGAGGAGGGTCATCTTAGGAAAAGCCAGTTAGGCAGTTGGTGCAGGGGGTCTGCTGCTGAGAGACCAGCAAGAGCTGTGAACCAAAGATGGATCCAGGCAGAGTGACAATGGCCTGTACAAGAACTGGTGGAGGGCAAGGCCAGGGTGGGTGCAGAGGCGCTGGCCAGCTCGGACTGACTGCACAGAGCAGAGAAGATGATGAGACTTTCAGACAAACAGATCCCGTGGAAGGGGATTTTGAGTATCAGTCGCCGATTTAGACACAATGCCGTGAGCCTTGGAGAGTTCCTGAAGTTTGTGGTTTCCTTTGTTGCTTGTTTTTACCAAGGAAGTGATAGACTCCAAGCACCAGTCTCCTTGAGGGCCCACCAGCCCCACTTGACTTC